ATGTAGTCGATCCTGTAAGTATAGTTGTGATGGTGTGGTGATGGCGGTAGATGTGATAATAATTGTGGTGGTGGTGATGGGTGGTGGTAAGTAGTGATGGTGGTTGGTGGGTGGTGACGATGATAGTATCCGGTTTTAGTATTTACAATTGGTTATAGCAATCGTTATTTCCCTAAGATGAGATGGTGTGCACAGTCCGAGCGCTCAAGATTTGGCATGTATTGGTATATATCGAGGATTTTGTCCTTAGTCCTTCCTCTCCACTACGAACTGCTCGACGCGTTCATACCACTAAACATGCCGATATTGAACGAGCTCTGTTGTTGCTGTTGGATCTGTTGTTGTTGCTGCTGCTGTTGGCTGTTCGCTTGGCGGCCATGTTTTGGCACTGGGGGTTGCAGGTATTCGTGTCTAGCTAGTGTCAGTACGTCTATACGTTCCTCCTTCCTATACGCTAGGCAACTTCTTATGAAACTCTGTAACAGTAAATCGTCGCATTATAAAATGGCTTTCAATTTCGATTTTCATCGGTTTTTTTTTTCACTGACGACCTTACCTTTGCTTCGTTGCTGACGGTTGGTTTATTCGCGAATTGAACTTCGGTGGCTTTTAGTATCGTATTCTCCTCTAAAATGGTGGCTTGCGATTGATTGTGACCAAAAGGCTACAAAAATAAATTTTTTTTTAAACACACATGTTTTATTATATTCGCGATAAGTGAAACTTTGTGGGATATATACTGCGATAAATACCTTTTTACCGTATAGACATTGATAAAATATAACTCCTACGCTCCATACGTCAACCTTGGACGATATTTTAGGAGGATTTTTGCCAATGACGAAGCATTCAGGAGGTAGATACCTATAATAAATGCAAAAGTACAAGTTTGTAATCTCCATTAATGATTAATGAATAATATGATAAAATAATTTAAGAAAAAATACGTACCAATAAGTACCCGCTCCTTGGGACGTTAGATCCATTCCGTGATCCGGATTATAATTTTCCTCGTCCATCACTTTACTTAAACCGAAATCCGTGATTTTTATTTCACCGCACACATTGCCTTCGGTTAACAGGATGTTACCTGCAACGGGAGCATCAAGTAATGAAATCATACTTACTTGCGTATAAAAATAATCCTCATTATAAAATTCTTCATTAATGACTATTGTATTCGCCAGGTAATATTTACCTGGTTTCAGATCGTAATGTATGACTGGGGGTTTTATTTCATTGAGGTATTTTAATGCTGATACGACTTGCATAACAATAGATCTCGCTTCTCTTTCGGGTATAGTCTTATGCTGCAATGAATTTAAAAAAGATATAATTCGAAAATAATGAAAATTTATATTATAATCTACAATATAATCATTAAAATAGAAAATTCGCATCAAGAGACGATTGAACGCTTATTACCTGCTTGAGGTAAAAATCTAAATCATGGCCATCACAATATTCCAGAACAGTACAAAAGGAATTGGCATCAATTTCAAATACATCGTATAATTTTACGACTCGAGGATGATCAAGTGCTTTGTGTATATTATATTCTCGCAATGCATGTCTATTGTAACAAAAAAGATCAAATAGAAACATCATTTTTGAGAAGAACTAGACCGTGTTGTTATTAAAACATCTTTATATTAATTATCGATTATAATAAATTAATATCGACAGAAGAGGAAACTTAAGGAGACTTACTTTATGTAATTAGCCTTCTTGTCTTCTTTCCAGTCTTTATTTAATTGATGCACCTTACAAGCCACGTACCGTTGCTCTTTTAAGTCAAATGCCTATACGCGAAAAAAAAAAGCAATAAAATATTTTTGTATATTTACATAAATTAATATGGCTAATGAAAGCAAGAGATAGAAATGTTCCGTTACCTTATGCACTTCACTGAAACCGCCCTTTCCTAACAACATTAATAAGAGATACCGCTCATTCAAAACAGGATGAGAGTTAAATCTCGATTGGTCCTCGTTATGAATACGCTTTAACTCTCTAATGTGTAAATTTCGCTCCCTTTCGAGCTTTTCCATTTCTAGTTGCAAATCTGCGTCTTCCTTTTTCAACGCACTTTGCCTCAACTGAAAGCACACATCGCGAGGCTTAAAAATGTTGAAAAATCGAATATTTATGGAAAGTATAGTCGCAAAACGTTAATACCTTGAGTATTTCGTCAGCTTCATAATACTCCTGCCACGTATACGACCCAGGTACTGCATCTGGCTTCAAAAACGTCGCCTCAGTACCGTTATGCAAGGAGGGTTGTGGTTGACTACGTTTCCTGCCTGTCTCGCTGTTCGACGGCCTCTTCTTGAGTAGCAGCTTCTTTTGCTTGTCGATCTCCTCTCGTTCCGTTGCTATTTCCTCTTGCCGTCGTGCAAGCTCGTGAAATGCATAACCGTCGGTCCAGTTCTCTTGAAACGTCGCACCCACCCTTTGCGTCACAAACTGGCCCAACCTCAGTCTATTTTGCATACACTTCTGTCTAGCCTCCTTTTTTTCTATGTTTGATTTTTCTTTTAATAACTTCTTTACAACGTCTATACACTTATTTATATGTGATTTGTGCTGCTCAAGCACTTTCTGTTGATTAGCGATTTGATGCCTAAGTTCATCCGTTGTCTGTAAGGTTCGAAGACGCTAGATTAATTTGCTATCGTCAAGATACACAGCATAGCTCTCGCTTATATAATAAATTTTAGATTATGTGATCTAAGGTAAGAGTAGTAGGATTTAGATAAATAAATTACCATAATCACGCCTGCACTTACCCTATTTAACTCGTCAATTTTATTGTTACGTAGTTCTAAGTCTGAAGAGGCTTGAGTTTCAAATTCCTGTATCCTCTGGCAAGTAAGTTCTGTCTGGAATGCAATTTGTATAATTTTACGATAAATGAAACATGTTATCGTAACATCTGATACATTTGTCAGCATTACTCAAAAATACTGGATACCTTGCTACACGCAGAAGTGCATAACATAAGAAATAATTTGTTAAATAAATTAACAAAGTTACACAGTGTATACAACGTCTATATTTGGTGTTCTATTAACTATCTGTTTAATTACGTAATGTAATCATTTCTATATTTCACTACGACTGACTTTCTCTTTGTTATAGAAAATAAATTAGTGAGCAAAACTTAAGCAACATGAACAAACGCTGATGGAACTGAGGGTCACACAGGCAGCAAGGAAAACACCAAAAATGTACGCATGTATAAAATGCTCTCATACAAACGCCAATATATAGATATATAACCCTAACAAAATTATTAATAGATTTCATCTTGGAACAGTTAAACGATATTGGACTCATTAGAACTTAAATGCAATGTTCAATGAATCCAAAGAAATAAAGATACAATACAAAGCAATAAAATATGTCTTTGACAACACTCACAACTCGAGCATTGTATTTACAAATACAGTACGATTTTTTTTATTTTCAAACATACTAGAATCCTTAAAACAAGTATCTTATAACATAAACGAGTGGCACTACAAGATAGCCTGTATTTGTATAATAACAAATGTATACAGTGCTACAATTTGGCCAAAGATTAGCTGATTTGACTGAAAACATTTGACAAGAAATGCCTACCACAAGATCATAAATGCATACGAAAAATCTAATCTACCTACGTTGTACATAGATCACAAACAAAACAATTCTTAAATACAAAAAATTAATTTTTGATAATCTGTCCACTCTATGTTATTTATATCATTCTCGCTTTTACCATTTTATTTTTGCACAAAAAATTAATCCAAGACAAATCTTTAGGAAAATAATACCTCTAACAGATAAATTTTTATTAAACAGTAATTCTATATTTTTATCGGTATATTTTCATTGTTAGGAGTGACAGTGGTAGCTTTATTATTATCTATTTACAACACAGTGTGGTAGAGTTGCTATATTTTATTATATTAACAATGAAAACATTTCAGAAACGTTTAATTATGTATTCTTATAATATATTCAGCATTGCTGACTATATTGCAGTAGAAAGACACAAATACAAACTGTGGGACCTTTCTTATAAAATGCTTGCAGATATTACCGAATTTTGCTTACATTTGGGGTGTTAGTCTTCGCTTGCCTGACCTGGCTTGTCCTATTGAGGTTGGTAGGCCTTACCTGCACCTGCTTGCTGACCATAGAGCCCGCAGGTTGCGACGAAGCTGGTGGAGGAGGTGGTGGAGGTTGAGGATGAGGTCTCGGTGGCTGCATCAGCGAAGAGAATTCCGCCACCGAAGAATTAGGTGTTGTTACTTGTGGCGAAAGTAACTGTTGTGGCGATGGTGGATACTGTTAGCGAGGAAACATACGTTACACAAACATCACAAAACTATGAGATCATTTTTGTAACGTTTACGTTTATATGACATAATCTTACCATAGGATAACCCTGTTGAGGGGAAGGGCTCTTTGCTCCACCATGCCGAATAGGGCTACTGCCCAGATGATGCTTTGGAAAATACTCATTGATCTTCTTATTATCAAGAGCAGCAACTGATCTAGCACCCTTACTAGCTACAGAGCCACCTGCGACACCTCCACCTCCATCATCGGCTTTACGCTTTCTTTTCCTCTCAGAAGTAGTCCGTGGTACTTTCTCCGGAGTGTTTGCATCCACCTCCTTATCACTATGCGATGAGCCTGCAGAATTATAATCCATTGTCAGAATGATTATAAAGAATATATCGTTAAATTTTGATATCAATAAGGATAATAATAACAAATCACAGGATTGCTTGTTTATTTCATTCAATAAGAATATTTAATAAGAATATTTGAAAACATTCAATAAGAATATTTAAAGAGAACATTTCTAGATAGACTTTATTCTATCTCTACAAGACTTTATTCTCGAGGCAAGATAGTTGCTCAGAGGACTAGGATGTGCAGAAAACATTCAGGTATTTCAAGCAAGACTCCTGTTAAATGTGTATCAATTGTCAAAGAACAAATCTGACTTACCAGTGCTCATGTTCGAGTCTTGACTATGAACTGCCTGACCAGAGTTTACGGTTGTTTGGGGTGCCATCTGAATTTGTGACCCAGCAGACATCTGAAAGCAAAGGACGGGCGATGTAAAATATACTGCGAGCTTTGGTTGAGTGGCAAAAACAGCACACAAGAGGAAAGAAACAATGCAACGAACCAAATAGTGACGAACTATAGTCACGAAGAGCGCCTGGGCGATTCAACCGTTATCGAATGTAAGGCATGTCGCCGCCACATAGTAATGACGAGTCGTACAGCAAAGCCAAAGTGGCGTACGAGACCGACCACGAACGATAGCGATGACAACGACGGGTACGAGAACGACAACGACGAATGCGAAATACGGCGAGAGAGAGGCGGCTTCAATGATCCTTCTCGGGCGCCGTGCGAGCCGTGCGAGAGAGGTTACGCTTTGCGAACGGCGAAAACCGGCGTACGACGCTTCGAGAGAATCGCGTGTTATTAAAAAGACACAATTTACTAGGGGGAACAAACCTGGAAGAATAGAGAAAGACTTATGGAGCGAAGAAAAAGGGATAGGATGAGGGGCGCCGGACGATGCGTGGAGGGGCGAGGAAAGAGAAGAGAGAGAGAGAGAGAGAGAGAGAGAGAGAGAGAGAGAGAGAGAGCGACGGAGAGAATGCGTGCGAGTGAGAAAAAAACAAGAGAAAAGGAGAGAAGAATGGTAGCACGTAAAAGAGAGAAGGAACAAACTGCGGCTAGAGAAAGAGAGAGAAATAGAGTTAGAACGATAGAGAAAGAGAGACCGACACCTTCCAGGACAACCTATGGTGAAGTCCCATAGTAATCGTGCCGTCCGGGGCCGATTGGCGGTCTGTCAACGGCAAACGGAATTTTCACGCGCGATCCTGCCGTGAGTGGTGGCGGCGGCGTGTAAGGGAAATGTCCGATATACGTTTAGAGCTAGAGGAATCACGACAAAATGGAGGACCTTATAGCAGCGGGGAGGGCGGGCAGGAAAGAGGGAGGGAGAGAGGGAGCGGAAGGGCGACGGAGGTTCTAAGGGGCAACGAGCGCGTGTGGGACGGGAAGGGAGGGCAAACGACGACGGCATGGATGGATAGAGGGGGAGAGGGGAGAGAAGACCGGGAGGAAGGTTAGGATAACGGCTGCGCGGGGTAGGAGGTACGAACTTGACGGCGCGCACGATTCGAGAAGTGCATGGGCGATGATCGGTAACCGCGGGCGCACACCACGAGGGGGCAGTTTTACTCACTACGTTGCGCTTCTGAACTCCCTACGGCATGGGGCCGAGGCCGTGGTTTTTAACTTTGGCTCTCTCTCTCTCTCTCTCTCTCTCTCTCTCTCTCTTTCTCGCACGCGCATATTTTCGTATAAGCGGCATCATCCGCGGCCACCGGCGACAACAGCGGCGTCGGCGAGGCGGTTGTCGCAGAGAGACGGGACGCGCTGCGCCTCTTCGATTAACAGCACCGATAAGCGAAAGAAGAGAGCGACGACATGCTACGTCATTCTGACCGGCTGTACGGCGCGGCGCGCAAAGTGTGACGTCGTCGTGCGGCCGTTGCGCGTCCCGCGTAGCGATAAATTACGTTATCTACACGCGCGTCACCTTCTCTCTTCCTCCCTAGGCTATTTTTCTCTCGCTCCCGAACAATACGTCGCTACACGCTTTCATATCCATCCCCCCCCTCCCCGTCGAATTAATTATCGCGAATAGTCATCGATCTGTCGTCGCGAAATCAAACGAAAAGCCACGAGAAACTACTTAACGTCTATTATGTGAGATTTCACAGAGTTGCCACAAATTCCTTAAAATTCTATAACCTTTCCTCCGATTTCCAGACAAATTTTCATGATTTTCCCAGACTTTCAACAATATTTTGACATTTTTCTTGTGATTTCATCCATGATTTGGAAATTATTAAATATTTTCTCTTAAGAGAGCAGATTACTATTAACGTTGCTTACACTGTTTACATTTAATTTTTTAAGTTGGCAGTATTCCAAAACTGCATAGGTGTGATGTACCAATGGTTAAATTTCTTCAAAATCAAGAATTTTAATTTTCTAGAAAATTTTGCGAAATTCCCTGAATCTACTAATTTTCCTGTTCATTATCATTTCTAGTTTTGTGGCAACCCTGTCGCTAAATGGTGTCCACGTAATTAAATATTACAATGCGGCAATTACATTTTCTTTATTTAAAATCACGTTTTGACGGCCATCTAGAAAGATTTATTTTTACGTTTGAATATCGCGCGGTCTACCGGTACGTACTGAAGTTATGCGAGAGCAGCGACGACTGGCTTACCCATTCTTGCTTGACGTGAATCGTCGAAAAATCTAGTCTGATTTAATTGATCCGATTAGTTACGCACTTCTTACTGTGCGTCAACTTTGCACGGCGATCTACTTAGATTGATGATGCTTTTATTTTTGTCGTGGCGCTATTCCGAGAGAGACTGTTTTATCTTATTTATATCTCGGCGCAGACTAGGAGAAAGAAAACGCACGTGAGACTTATGAGGAGCAAGTCCTCCTATGTGTGAAGAACAGAAACGAATATCGCTTACTTAATCCACCGTGAGTGAAATTGATTTTTTCTTGCGACGATCTTGTTTAGCAAAATTAGATTACTAAACAATGACCGATACTTATCTTTTTTTTTCTATTTCTATGATTTTATAAAGTCATGACGTATTCGAGCGGCGTGATACTTCAGATCGATTCGAAGGACAGATAAATGCGTAATGTTTTACTTTTTAGAAACTCATGCTAGGCTCTTACAGAAAATTATACGTAATCCTTTTTTCATCAATGACACGTCGACCGCCATAACGATGAATGTATCTGACGTTTGACGCGAAAGAATAAAAAAGAAGGAACGATAACAGTCAAGTCAATTTACCAAGCTGATATACAAAGAAATACAAAGAATTAGACACAAGGGTTTAAATCGCAATGTAAACACCGTATACAATTTCAGGTATTTCCACGTCAAATCTTATGTTTTACTTCCCCAAGCCCGTAATTCGCGCCGTCTCGCAGGTAGCTCGGTCACGTGACCGGTAGTGTAACTAATGCGCCTCTCGACCCCGAGACTATGCGACAACGAGATGCTCGATCCCGCGGATTCCTCGCGTATCGTGCACGACCGGCATGAACAAATTCATCGCGGGAGAGGACAGCAAACTTCCTTATCGATGGATCAGTGGCCGTGCCCGGAACTGGGCTAGAGGGCCGGTAGAGAGAAATAAAGAGAGAATGAGAAGAGAGAGAGAGAGACGATGTATCTTGTCTCATTGACTACATTCAACAGAAAAAGCAACTTTGCAACTGTTGTAAAATTTTTCTTGGCGGTACAATTGATCTTGGCTCCTAGTTTCTCTCTGGATCCAAGTGTATAAACGAATCGCATTAAAGAATCTTACGACACTTGCGAAGTTGCTGTTTTTTTTTTCTGCTAAACGCAACCTTTCTCTTCTCTCCGCTGTCGTATCGTCGGGACGGATGGGACACTGTTGTGTACGATCGCACACAGCAGATGCGCGAAATGGTGTGTGTGTGTGTGTGTGTGTGTGTATGAGAGAGATGAACCGTACGTGTATATGTGTGGATGACATGCGTGTAAAAACGTATATGGAGCGATTCGCGCATAGGTAGAAGGCTGACGTATATCGTACGTACGTGCAAACCCGGTAAATCGGGGCATGTAGGACTTTTACAATGCACGCCTGTAACCCTGGCGACCTGGCCCTGGCGTGGCCATAACCGCGAGGTCGGTCTGTTCACGAACACACCGTGGTCGAGTGGTACGTAAGACCGAGTCGCGTCTCGTAGAGCGTTGTACGTCTACGAGACGGGGCTCCTCTTTCTCTTTCTCTCTCTTTCTCCGTCTCTCTCGCGCTTCGCCGCACGAGGTCCGTTTACTCCTGGATACGCTCGTAAATGTTGGCGTGCGGCTGGCGCGCCGAGTAAACAGCGGAGACGGTGGCATCAGCAACGGCACCAGCAACGGCAACGGCAACGGCGACAGCGACGGCAGCAGTCGCAGCCGTACCATGCGACGTCAATGGACACAACAACGAGCAGCATCACGCGCGTATATACCCGCTCTTCTTCTCTCTTTCCTGCGCCTCGCGCACGATGCGTTATGAGAGCGCGAGCCAAAAACCCGGCGCGCGTGGACTCGCCTAATCGAAACGGAACTGGAACTGTCCGACCACCGTGCCGCCGCCGCTCTCGCATACTACTACCTAGCCCCGAGAGAGGTTTCTCTCTATCTCTTTCTCCTTTCCCCCTCGTCCCTCCGTTTCTCTCTCTCTCTCTCTCTTCGTCGCTCTGCTGCTATTTCTCTTTCTTTCTCTCTCTCTCTCCCTCTCTTTCCCTTTCTCACTCCTCTCTATGTACGGCAAATGAGCAACGCGCGAGATTCCGAGATGCGGCAAAAGGTGCAACCTCCCTCCCACTTCTCCCCCCGCGGTGCCGCTACCGCCCCGCATCACACAACAGAGAGTCAGAGAGAAAGAGGGACACTTTGGTACAGTGTACAAGCGAATGAGAGAGGAAAGGAAAGAGAGACAGCGGGCGAGAGAGAGAGAAAGAGTGAGAGAGAAAGAGGGGTGGGAACGCGAGGGGGAGCGGGGGCAGACGTTGGCGAGCTTGGATGGAGGAGAGGGATGGACGGGATAAGATAGAAAGAGAACCGACCGTGACTGACGGAGACAGGGGTCCGTAGGGGGTGGCGGCGAGCAGCCGAGAACCGGGGCCGCGGGGGTGCGAAGGGAAGGAGGGAATACGACGAGGGGGAAACAGGGGGAAGGGGAGGGGGAAACACGGGGGGAGGGAGGAGGAAGGCATATGAGACATTCCTTCAGTGAACGGGTCGACCGAGTGTGAGTGCGAGCGAGCCGGTAAAATCGATGTGGCGAAGTGTAGTTGTGCCGCTACAGCGTGCGAAGGGTGCCTCTGCTCTGTTGTACCTCTCTCTGCCCCCTTCTCCCCTTCCTCTCTGCCATGACCTCCCCCCTTCGTCCTCACCTCACCGCCGCCGAGATACGTTTTCCGTGTGTGATCCGC